CACACACACACACACACACACACACACACACATTTTTCACATGGGAAAATATACTGAAGATGACAAATGTCCCGTAATCTCTCCAAACAGATGATAATCCCTATTAGAACAGCTGACACACACTGGTGGTTTAAAAACATTATAATAGTACACAGTGATGCGAAATAAAACGTTAAGGCCTCCCCAACTCTTCTGCCATGCCTGCCCCCGAGGTAATCACTGTTAACAGTTCTCCTTCCAAAAAAGGTGTACCACAAGGAGACATTGCTGTGTGTGTTTGTCTTTAATGCACACAAAGGTATCCTGTTAATGTGTTGTGCTATTTCTTTTAACTTAACCTGATCTTAGACCTTCCCTCAGCTCAGAAGCTCTGCTTTTGTTTGTGTCATGAGTTACCGCTGTCACTTAAGGGAAGGGCATTTCACTGGATCCCGTTAATGGACACAGAGGCCACTTCTAACTTTTTAGTATTCCAAAAACCGCGGTGGTGAACATCCTTGTTCCCTCAGGGAAGTATTTCTGGAGGATGAAAAGAAGGGCATTTGTTTTTGTTTGTTTGTTTGTTTATTTTTTAAAGATTTTATTGGGGAGTTGGGGGAGGGGAACAGACAAGTTGCTGTCCTTTTGTTCTTTAGTCTAGTTGTGGAGGACTTCGCTTCACTGGCCCATGTTGGTATTATCTTGCGCTCTTCCTGGGTGAGGCAGATCGGTTGCCAGCCTCTGGATGGCTGCTCACGCCAGCTGCCAGGCACTCACGGTAGCTTATGGCAGCCCACTGCAGCCTACGCCGTCGCCAGCGGCTCACGGCAGCCCAGCTCCAGGTCGAGCTGTTGTTCACCATCTTAGCTGTAGAGGGCGCAGCATCACTGGCCCATGTGGGATCCGAACCGGGGCCCTGCTGCTCAGAGCTCGTGCTCCCAAGCCAGCTCTTAATCAACGTGCCACTTGGCCGGCCCCGGGGCATTTGTTTTTAAATGGCTTTATCAAAGTATAATTGAGGTAACGCTGCCCTCTGCCCCTCGCGCTACCACCGCACTTGGCGCCCATTGCTGTTGGCACCCTGCTCCTGGCCCCCTGGTCTGTCACAGTTGTGCTACACGAGACAGTGAGATGTCCTCACAACGGCTCACCCCCAGCCACCTGGAGCCGGGCCTCCCCCTCACTGTCAGGTTCAACACAAGTTCAGCAGATTTCCTTCCATTTCTCACCACGTTCCCTCCCAGAGGCAGCTCCTCACACTTGCGCCAGCTTTAGAAGCAGCGCCACCCACTCGCTTTATCTCTGTCCTGCGGTGTTAATGACCTGCTGCATTCCCTCCCCAGCAGCCTGCTTAGCGTCTCCTTTTCCTCCTTCCCCTGGTGGCCCAGACCCTCAGGTGGAGCCTCTGCAGGCGTCCTGTCCTCCTCCTCCTCTTCCCACTGCTGGCCATGCTCAGTGGCCCGGCCCTCGTGTCTGTGAGTGACGTTTCTAGAGCTGCTCCGTCCTGCCACCATCTTCTGGGCATTTGACTGGTCCTTCCACATCGCAGGAATGGAGGCACTGTTCTCCTCCACAAGACAAGCGTTCAGTCTTGTCTCTTTGCCAGTCTGTTTGTACAGTTACCAGATGAATCTTGTTACAATGCTGCATTTTGAAGTCCATCTTTCCCTACTCGCTCTCAGAAACGTTTAGATAACGTGATTTCTTCACGCTGCAAAACTGATCTTCTGTGGAGCATTTGAGATCTTGCTCCCTGGCCTGTGTCGTCAGTTTGGCTCAAATAAACTCTTCTTAAAAGTCAGAAAATACATGAATGAATGAATGAATGAATGAATATATGAATGTGTGGTTTCCTGTTACCATAGGGCAGGGGTCGGCAAACTTTTGAGACGGAACGTACCCAAAGAGCCGCATGTGGCTCGCGAGCCGCAGTTTGCCGATGCCTGCCATAGGGGAACATCCCACTTCCTTAGCTTGTGACTCCTTCCCTCTGTGCCTGCTGGGTGCTTCCTGGGTGCGCCTCACGCCCCTCCTCTCAGGAAACAGCTTCTTCCTGGAGCCTTGTCTGCCAGCCATTCTCCTCAGCCCTTGTGATGCTCACCGTCTGACCTAGCCGTTTGTCACTTAACTCACCAAGCAGACATCGTGAGTGATGTGCTGTTGGTGCTGTGAGGGGCGGAGTACAGAGGAGTGGGAGGGTCAGGCCTGTGTCACCTGAATTCCGTGTCCACTGGAGCAGAACGAAGGCAGAGGCCTGGCCTTACAGCCTGCAAGTGCTTTGCCCAGGAGGAGAGGAAACGCTGGGAGCGCTGCCAGGGCACTTCCGCTAAGACTTCTTGGACGGTCTTCTCTTGGCACTTCTGATTCAGTTCTTTAGCTCGGCAGGAGTTGTCACTGAAGTGAGTGTAGAAGGTACGAATGCAGAGTCATCAGCTGAGTTCTCGCCTAAGACCTCATGAAAGGAGATGGTTTCAGATGGTCTTCTTCCATTGGCCCTGCCCGTGCTAACCTCCCTGCTGTTTTTCCTTTCTCTTCAGTCTGCATGAAGAGATCAGTGACTTTTATGAATACATGTCTCCACGGCCCGAGGAGGAGAAGATGCGCATGGAGGTGGTGAGCAGGATCGAGAGTGTCATCAAGGAGCTCTGGCCCAGCGCTGACGTGAGCACCTGTCCGGGTAGCCGGGTGCCCAGGGCGACGAACCGGGACACGCCCCCGGGTGGAGGGTCTGCTGTGTCGCAGTCAGTCCTCACGGGCAGCTGGATGTGCACCTGTAGAGTTAGGGTCTAACGAAAGCTTAAAGGCCAGCAGTTTCCTTCAGCCTTTGGGGTTTGGGCTTCCTGATCTTGCAGTGGATCAGCTGACTTACCTAGAGCTGTTCCTTTGCAGTATGGAGAGCAGCTGCCGAAGGCACACTGTACTTAGGAATCGCTAGTGCAAAGTCTCATTGCAGTTAGCCGTGCTGTTCAGAACCCCGTGTGATTTTGTGCCACCTGCCGGGATAAACCCTATGTCACTGTTCGTAGCAGAGTGAAAGGCCCAGGAGGAGTCTCTCCTGTCACCAGAAGTGCCTTTTCTTGGTCGGTCGCAGGCGTCTGTCTGCTCTGCCCCTCCCCTGCAAGTGCTGCTGCCTTCTCTCCCTGACCTCCTTGTCTCCCAGGACACCCCCCACCCAATGAGCATCGCTTTGGCCGAGATTTCCTCTTGGCATATTTGTGGTTCTGGTTGTTGACTGAGTTAATACTTCATGTTTTAGGGCTCCCTTGAGGGTCTGTTGTACAGTTGTGTGCACTCTGTCAGTCATGGGTGGTGAAGGGGAGCAGGGGAGTTTTCTTTTGTCCAGTTGGCAAAAGAAAGCCTCAGATACGATGCTGTAGGTGCAGGGAAGGAGGGGCAGAGGACACTGGTGTTTACTGAGCAGCTACTATATCACTTTGCTTGTCCTGTGAGCTAACTCAGCGGCTCTCAGCTGGGGGTGTTTGCCCCCGGGAGGCCTTTGGCATTATCGGAAGCAGTTTTGTTTTTTTTTAAAGATTTTTATTGGGGAATTGGGGGAGGGGACCAGCCAAGTTGCTGTTCTTCAATCTTCGTTGTGGAGGGTGCCAGTCGGCATCTGGTTTCCTGTCGGCAGCTCATGGCCTCTAAGCTCAAGGTGCTGTGTTTAATCTTAGTTGTGGGTGGGCGTAGCCACCATCCCATGTGGGAGTCGAACCAGCAGCCTTGTTGTTAAGAGCACACACTCTATCCACTGAGCCATCCGGGCAGCAGCCCAGCTCAAGGTGCCGAGTTCAGTCTTAGTTGTGGGTGGGCATAGCCCACTACAGATAGAACAGGCAGTCTTGTTGTTACACCAGCTGAGCCATCCTGCCACCTGTTGGCAGCTCAGCGACAGCTCAGCTCGGGCACAGAGTCACTGGCCCATGTGGGAATTGAACCAGGGGTCCTGTTGCTTAGAGCTCACACTCTTAAGCCAACTCTTAACCAACTGAGCCACTCAGCCGGCTCCGGAGGCAGTTTTGATTGCCCTGACTGGTGAGGTGCTCCTGGAACGTGGTCAGTGCAGGCCAAGGATGTTGCTAAATACCCACGATGCACAGGGCACCACGACGCTGCAGTGACAGCACCGGCGTTCTCTGGGGGGTCTCGTACTGATTCTGGAACCTGTGAGACGACTCCTGCTTAGAGCTTACAAATTGAGGAGCTGTGATCATAAGGGAGCATTAGTGACCTGAACGTTACTTTTGAAAGTTTTTTATTTTAGTCTGCACGTTTGATATTTGAACCTAATACGTAAACTCTATTTGGAATGGTTGCCTGTGAGACACGGGATCCCTGATTCATGAAAGCATGGCGGGTATATAAGATGCTCTTGCAGTACTAAAAAGCGCCAGTAGATGGTAGCAGAAACCAGCATTTCATCGTAGCTTCGTGGCTTCTCATCTCACACCTTTTTAATATAATAATTGTTTCTATTTCAGGTCCAGATATTTGGGAGTTTCAAAACTGGCCTTTATTTACCTACTAGGTTAGTATATTTATGAAGCTTTCAATGGGTTGTGCACTTTTCCAGAGTGTATTTATTTTGGCTGTGGAATGTGTAAGAGTAGAAACCAAATAGACTTATGAAGCGAAATTCACTTACCTGTATTTTATTTGAATCACCTTGAGGTAGAATCTCACTTTAGATCATCTGATTGAGCAGATGATACAGAGACCTGTGTCATCTCAGGTGGGTCTAACAGGGGCCTGTGGCAGTGGAATCGGTTAGCTGTTTTAGCCATGGACTCCCCCGCAGAGAACTGTCCAGCCCGACCTTAACCCACCAGGGCAGATGTCAGTGCGATGCTGCGGAGAAGCACCTGGTTATACCGCAGAGCTGTGCGTACTCCGAGTGCCAGGCCCCTTTTTATATGAAGAACTCATACTGCTAGCCACGGTCCAAACATCCTCACCCAGAAATTCAGGGGACAGGCTCTTGTCTGAGGAGGGTTTTGGTCTTCCCAGGCCCCTTGTTTATTTCAGCCTCTCAGGCCCACAGCCCGGGGGCCCTTTGGGGATGGGAAGGCTTCCCTGAGGGGGGAGGACCTACCTGTTCTCTAAGAATTGAGATGCTACGGTTGAAGGAAAACATTCCATCGTGATTTTGTTTTTATTTGGTAAAGCACTTAACATAATTTACACTTAAAAAAACATGATTTACCCTGATAGCAAGTTTTTAAGGGCAAGTTACAGTATGATTAACTATAGGTATCCGTCCTGTTTTTTTTATTTGAGCCTGGTATGATCTTCTTTACCTAAACTTAAAATGTGTTGAAGTGGATGGATCCCAGCAATTTCCATTTTTCCCATTGCTGTCCTAAGCCTCGAAAATCCATAAAATATTCAACTTCGAGTTCATTAATATTATTCCTTATTTAGGTTCTGAGCTTTAGCAGAATCCTGAGTCACTCGTTCTAAAATATTTAATTAAATTTTATGACTAGGTAGTGCACTCACATAATTCAGATTTGAGCAGGGCACAAAAATAATCGTGGCGAAAAGTCTGGATCCGACCTCTGTCCCCAGTTCCTCTCCTTGGAAGAGCCGCGGGTGCCCTTCCTTACATATCCTTCCAGAGACAGTCCATGCAGATAAAGTGAAAGGAACTGTGTGTGTGCCGGCGTGTTGCCGTGCTTTGTTATACAAATGGCAGCATACTCGATACACTCACTGTCTGCATCTTGCTTTTTACACTGAATAATCTAAGTGACAGTTCATCTCATCCACATTGAAAGTCTAAAGTTTTTTTAGTACCAAAAACCTGTATGAACAGGAAACGTTAACAGGCCTTTTTTGAGGTTTTACTTCTTTCAAAACCGTCCCCGTTTCCTGAGGCCTGGCTTGTGTGACCTGGCAGGGAGGAGGAGGTTGTTAAGTCTCCAACGTGCCCTTCACCCCTGAAAAACAGTCACCGCCATCAGTCAGTCTTCACGGGGCAGGGAAGAGGTGGGTTTTCACTGCACTGGTTCGAAGTCTGTAAGCGTGAATCGAAGTTGAAACAGGACAGTTTCGTGCTTCTTCGAACAACTGTTGGGCGTGTGTTCTGTGTTCAGTGACATCGACCTGGTGGTGTTTGGGAAATGGGAAAACCTGCCGCTCTGGACCCTGGAAGAAGCTCTTCGGAAACATAAAGTTGCAGATGAGGATTCAGTGAAAGTTTTAGACAAAGCAACTGTGAGTTCCTTAGCGTTTCACCGTAGTGTGTAGTGACGTGTGCATGGAGCTGAGAAATGGAACTTTAATTTTTGTGAGCATGGTTGGACTGGGAGCGAAAGCTTCTTTTCTTTTGTGAATGATCACAGCGCTCGTATATAAAAGCCATTTGTGAAACAAATGAACCTGTCCTTGTTATTCGTTTCTTTAAAAAATAACACTCACTGTTATCGTACATAATACTCACTGGAGAGATTTTTTAGTATAAAAAAGTCTCAGTAAAAATATGTAGCTGTGAAACGGTTTATAATGACCCAGAAGATGTTTGCTCTTCTGCTCTAGCTTAGTTTGTGGCCTTGACGCATTGTAGATAATTGAAATTTTGTAAATCAAGCCATATTTTAGCTATGTCTGGAATGGCCATCGAAGAACTTTCTGGAAGCTCAGAATATGTCTCTTTTAGAAGTTTGAGTTTTTGCATATTATGTTTTCTTGCAGCAAAACACCTTGTACTGTGTTTATAAAAAGTTATTAATCTGGAAACCCTGTTCCACACATAGTTTGCTGGCCCGAGTTTTCGAATGCATGGTGCAGATAGAGTTTCCTTTTGTTTTAAAGAATTTCTAATGTCTCATATAAATCAATCTATCACTTTTTATTTGGGAATAAGTCTTACATTTTCTCTTCTCTTGTTAGGTTGTTTGGGGGCTCTTTGCAAAACTGACCCATAATGCCAGTGGGTGGTTGTATGTGACTTAAGAATCTAGCACTTTTCTTATCAGGAACAATTTGATAATACACTTGACATTTCTAATTCTTGATGTTATACTGACTTGGAAACTGTTCTCCAAAGTACATAATGTTAAAAAAGCGTTTTGTTACCTGATTTCAAAATTCTCAACCAGTCGGAATTACACTGGATGGGGTTGTACGCTACACATGTAATGGAAAGGCTCTAGAAGGCCAGGCTGACTAGTGTGGAGAGCCAGAGCACTCAGCGTGTGCATATCCTCGGGAGGCGGTCAGGCCCTCCTCACGTCGGGGGACCTTCCAGCCCCTGATTTTGTCATTGAATTTGGTTAAAGTATTTTAATTTTACCTTTCTTCTCCTTCCAGGTACCTATTATTAAATTAACAGATTCTTTTACTGAAGTGAAAGTTGATATCAGCTTTAACGTACAGAATGGTGTGAGAGCAGCTGATCTCATCAAAGATTTTACCAAGGTCAGAGAATAGATAGCGTCTATTCAGTGAAACTATTAGAAATGGAGTTTGGTTTTGAGATTCTGTTGTGGTAGTGTTCTGATATACTTTGCTAAACTATTTTTATATGCGTATTGCTGACAAACGCCTCTTTTCTGTGCAATGGTTTTACTTTCCTTGAATCTGCTTGTCATTAATTAGTGATTTATAATGTGACCTCAAGTGAGCATTAAAGGTTGAGAAAGCTTTTGAAGAACTTCTCTGCTCTTAGATGAGGGCTGAAATCAGTTGATTCTTCTGCTTTTAATCTCCCCCAGTTCAGACTAAGAATCTCCCTATGGAGCCTTTTCTAGATTAATCCCCAAATCACCTGTAAGGCAGTTCCTGCAGCTTCCGTTACTTTATCTTATTGTGATTTAAGTCTATTTCTGCTTGTTCTGTTTTCTTCCAAGATAGGGGAGAATTTGTCAACATCATCTCCAGGACATTTCAGATGCTTACACACGTCAGCCTTTTCTCCCTAAGCTGAAAATGTTAACTGCTTTGGTTTATGTAGAATATCTTTTTTATCCATTCACAATTTTTTTCTTTAGCAGCTCTACGGGTTCACCCTTTTTTATTCTGTAAGAAAAAAATGTAACTATCATGTTGTGCGTATAATATAGTCTTGTTAAATGTGCAGAGTAAAGAAAAGCAAAAAAAGAAATATGACCCATAATCCCACTCTTTTTGGAGGTGTTGGGCATGCGTAAATTTTCTTTTTCCCAGAAAAGAAATGTTTAATTGAGAATAATGTGCATGATAAAAAAATTTACCAATATAAAAGGATAGCGAGAAGCGAGTCACCTAATACCTTATAGCAGCGGTTCTCAAGCTTCCTAATGCCGCGACCCCTTAATACAGTTCCTCATGTTGTGGTGACCCCCAAACATAAAATTATTTTCGTTGCTACTCTATAACTGTAAGTTTGCTACTGTTATGAATCGTAATGTAAATATCTGATATGCAGGATGTATTTTCATTGTTACAAATTGAACATAATTAAAGCATAGTGATTAATCACAGAAACAATATGTAATTATATATTGTGAAATATTTATAATTCATGAAGTGTCGTTTTACCTTCAATACTGCTGCTTTCAACACAGCAGCTGCTTTCTACACAGTAGCTGCTCTCTACACATGTGTGACTGGTCCGTGTAAGTACATTATGGCGCCAACCCTGTCACATACACCGGTATTTGTATGGGGTGTATGTGATGGGGTTGGCGTGATGATGTCATCACGCTGGGTACTCATATGTGGGCGTATCTGCATGTGGGCGGAGGTGCCTGGAGACGGATAGAGGAGTGGTGTCTCGGTTCCTAAGACCATTGAAAATATGTGTTTTCCGATGGCCTTAGGCGACCCCTGTGAAAGGGTTGTTCAACCCCCAAAGGGGTTGAGAACCGCCGCCTCATAGGCTGAGATCGGCTTTATATATCAACTTTTTTTTGGCTTGTTTATCCTCTTCTTGAAATTTTTAACAAAAGGAATGGGACCCTGTACGCTTACTGTCTTACACTCTTTTTAAACTTCATATTTTGGAGGGTTTTTTGTATCGGCACAGACGGGTTTCCTTTGTTCTTTTTACCGACTGTGCGGCAGTCCTTGGTGAGGACGCAGCGTGCTTTGCTGCCGCAGTGGTGTTCCCTGTGTGTTCTGCTCTTACCAGAAGTGCTCGGTGAATGTCCTTCCGTGCCTGCATCTTTCTTTACACTTGTAAATGTTTCTAGAAAGATGCCTGGAAGTGGAACTTCTGGGTCCCAGGCTGCCTGTTGGAAATTTGCCTAATTGTTCTATAAAGACAGTGCATCTGTTTCTGACTTTAACCATAATGTTTGAAAATCATTATTTCTCCGTATTTTTGTTGTTATTTCTCATGCTTGTTTACTTTGACATGATTTCTAAAAGTATACACTTTCCCCTTTCTTATGGGGAAGCGGTATGTGTTCATTGTGTCAGGAAGAAACTAGACATCACTAGTCATTCTACCACCCCTGGGTGCAGGCTGTTGAGGCTTCCTGTTAGGGGGCGGTGCCGGCCTCAGTCCCTTTCGTGTCCCTTGCCTCGGGCCTGGCCTGTGGAGAGTACTTAGTGTGTGTGTGAATGACAGATGGCCTCACACTGTCCTGTGTGCCAGCTCAGGTGCTCGCACCGTCCTCTGTAAAGCACGGAGGGTGGGTCCATGTGTGGTCACTTGCCCACAGGGAAGCCAGCAGGCAGGGCTGCCCCTGCTTCGGGCTGTGCAGAGCCATCTGCAGGACCCCGGTTTACCTGGCGGAGCGCCACCTATCTGCGGAAAATGATTCTTTAAAATCCCACTGATTTAGTGATCTAAGGGCGGAGGCTTTGCCTGTGCTGTTTCTGTTGCCTGTTTACAAATGAGCATCCTACGGTAACGGCCATAAATGAGTGTCATCAAATGTGTATCACCTGTGTTCTTGTCCCGTAAGGAGTGTCTGGATGCCATTATTTATGTCTCCACGTTTTAAGTTTTAGATGTCAGGGAAAATTCCTTAACTACTTACAGCTTGCTCTTAAAATAGAACATTAAGTATCTCCACCAAAGTTTGTAATGTAGTGACCAGTTTATGCTTATAGACCATTCTGCTGTTAATGCTTAGAGCTATTACTAACATAAAGAATTCATTGGAAATCTCATTTTTTTCTTTTTCAGAAATATCCTGTATTACCATACTTGGTTTTAGTATTGAAACAGTTCTTATTACAGAGGGACCTTAATGAAGTATTTACAGGTGGAATTGGCTCTTATAGTCTCTTTTTAATGGCAGTCAGTTTCCTTCAGGTAAGTTGTGTGGTTGTACCATGCTAATGTATGCTAAAGTTTAAAAAAATCAGTTGGGGAATCGTTTTGGAAAAATTTTCTGTCCAGTTCTAATCGCAGTGTTTTCCTTGGGACTTTTTACTTTAAACTGGGCACCGTTTTGTAATTTGGCAAATACGTATTTTAAAATCCCTAAGGAAAAAAACAGTTTTTTGTTTTTAATCCCATGCATTCTACTATTTGGAGACTTTTCCCTGCACGTTTTCATGTGCAAAGGTATGGCGTGGTTTCCGTCAGTGTAAATAGTAGTAGAAATACCAACAATAAGAACGTCTTCCAAGCAGCTAATCTTGTCAGTGTAGCCGGAACAGAGGCCTGCTATTTGGGTGAGAGGAGTGAGAAGTCTCAGCATTATCACGAGTGTATTAATTAGTGCTGCCAGCTCCCTGGCTGTGCTCACGAGTCACAGTGACTTCCCTGAGTGTTGGGCCAGCCTGCCCTGCGTGTGCCGTGGGGCAGCTGTGCGATTCAGCCCTGCGCGTTGTCCCCACACAGCTCTGCAGCCATGGGGCTTTGGTGGTGCTGGTAGTGTGAGCACAGCCTGCCCTTCCTCCATTAGCTATTGACTGCTGTGCTAAAGCAAAATCATAATAGTGTTGCTTATAGACGTTCAAGTGTCGTTGACTATCCCCACCTTGATGATGTAGAGACAATCCAATGTAATTTCTGTATTTTTTCTTCTGGTTTTAGTTACATCCCAGGGAAGATGCTTGCATCCCCAATACGAACTATGGTGTTCTTTTAATAGAATTTTTTGAATTATATGGACGACACTTCAATTATTTAAAGACTGGCATCCGCATAAAGGATGGTGGTTCATATGTGGCCAAAGATGAAGTGCAGAAAAATATGCTGGATGGCTACAGGCCGTCGATGCTGTATATTGAAGATCCTTTACAACCAGGTACTAAAATTAGGTAAATTCGTGGGCATTCAAAGAAAGGGCATTGTCAGTCACCAGACTGAACTTAAAATTCTCCTTAGGTGAAAAATTAAGGGTTAACTTTTCATTGTAGTCATTCTTTTCTTTCATCAAAATATTTTGTAAGCAAACACACACACAGGAAAACATATTGTACGCTTCCAGGTGAGCTGGGAGTAGACGCCATTTGGCTGCTGCGGGCAAAGGACAGCAGGTGTCTGCCATTCGGGCGGGTGTCTGTGCGTCTCGTTTGGCCGCCATTTTTCTTCTTTCTTGTGTCCTTCTTGCCCCTTGATTCCAACCAGCTGTCAGCTCGGGCTTTAATGTGACAATTCCGAGGTCCTCAGAGGCAGGGAGCCCAGGTCACAGAACCTCAGATTCACAAGTGAAGGGGTTCAGATAAAATTTATTTGCCTCTTAGACGCCTTCTTTCCTCTGTAATTTTGCATAGTCTCCCTCTGCTTTTTCCAGCTTTATGTTGGCTTGAAAGGAACAGAAAATGAATTCCTTTCTTGCTTTCATGAAGTTATGTTTGCTTGCTTGAATCCTAGTTTTCCTGGGCAATAGTTGTTTCCTGATAGAATTATAAAATGTTTAGATTCTGCGTTATTGGACTTCAGGGGAAATGCTTGTAGTCATTTGCTTTAATGCGTTAACTTTGAAAATAAGTAAGGAAAGCGAGTTCAGAGGTACAAGTCTTTGCCTCGGAGCCCTTTTCAGGCTTTCTGAGACGTCTTATAAATATTAATATTTCTCTGTTTGTTGAGGAAATGTTCATCGGGAGCCTACTGTACGTCAAGGACATAAAGATTTTTCAGCAAGATGGTCCTTGCTTTTTAGGAGCTCATCATTTCGTGGGAGATACTTATGTCGCTAGTAGAAACAAGGACTAGGTGTTCCTAATTGAGCTTGGTTTCGCTCTTAGGAGAGAACAGGCGTGACTGTGTATGAGAGTCCCTGTCAGGCAGAATACATTTAGGTGATTTATACACCGTCATAACCTACTTACTTCGTGATCCACACACTCAGAGCCTGGGGAGTTGTGGGGACGACTGGCAGCCAGATTCTGGGTGCAGCTCCAGTAGGCAGCGACCGCGCTGCTTCCCAGAAGGGGCCTCGTGAACATTTAGTTGGTATTAAGCACGGTCAAGTTCACTGTTGTATATGTACATTTCTTCTAAAGGTAACGATGTTGGAAGGAGCTCCTATGGGGCCATGCAAGTGAAACAGGCCTTTGATTATGCCTACGTCGTTCTAAGTCACGCGGTGTCACCCATAGCCAAGTACTATCCCAACAACGAGACAGAGAGGTAAGAATTTACGAAAGTCAGCCCATTGCGTCAACATTGCTTGTGGCTTCTTATCTTCAAATTAATGTGCCCCTCGTCTTTTTTTTCAACATGTGCAGCATATTAGGTAGAATAATTAGAGTAACGGACGAAGTTGCCACGTATAGAGATTGGATATCAAAGCAGTGGGGCTTGCAGAACAGGCCTGAGCCTTCGTGCAACGGTAAGAGTTTTTCGTTGGTCAATTGACCGAGTATTAGAGGCTTTTCTGTATTGTGTGTGCTTAATGGGAAGAAACGTTTTCCAATCTTTTGCCACTCTTTCAGGAAATGGTGTTACCTTGATAGTAGATACTCAGCAGTTAGATAAATGTAATAATAATCTATCTGAAGAAAATGAAGCCCTTGGAAAATGTAGAAGTAAAACTTCGGAATCTCTTAGTAAACACTCTTCAAACTCTTCATCAGGTCCAGTGTCTTCCTCCTCCGCCACACAGTCCAGCTCTAGTGATGTCGTAAGTATTGAGCACATGGCTTTTGCAAACTTAGATGCCGAGGGGTCCCATGGTGGGGCGTGACTCTGTCTGGAGGGCGAAGGCTAACTCATTTTCTTATCTGTTACTGGGGAATCTTAATTACTTTAATGGTTATACTTTTTCTCAACATTGTGTTAAAAATTTCGAGCATTCAGCAAAAGTGAAAGAATTGCAGAGAACACCCATCCACATTACCACTAGAGTGTGCCATCACATTTCAGTTGCTTGTCACGTAGCTAGCCGTCCATCCATCCCTCTGCCCATTCATTCATTTCATCCTTGGAAACATTTCACAGTAAACTGCAGGTGTCAGTACACCCCCCCAAAGTGCTGCAGCGTGCCCCCCATTGACCAGAGCTCAATATTTGTCTGGGTTTTCCTTCTGATACAAAATTGACACATAAGGAAATCTTAATTGTACATTCCCTAAATGTTAACAAACGCATACACATGTATAACCCGAAACCTAACAAGATATAGCTCATCACCATCGCCCCAGAGTGTTCTTCGTGGTGCTGTCTAGTCATTCCCCAGCCCTACCCTCAGAGGTGACCACTGTTAGGATTTTCTAACATCATAGGTTAGTTTCACACGAGGGGAATCATTTTAGCACAGATGCTTTTGCTTAAGGCGTCTTCCACTCAGTAATGTTTTTGAGCTTCTTGATTTAATTTTTAAAAATTGAGATATAATTCACCTAATACAATGCTCACCAAGTAAAAAATGTAGAATTCATTGGTTTTTAGTATATTTACAGTGATGTGCAGCCATCACCACTACCTCATTCCAAGACGTTCCAATCACCCCAAAAAGAAACCTATTAGCAGTCCCTGCCGATCCCTCCCTCCCCACCGTCTCCTGGCAACCCCTAATGTACTTTCTGTCTCTATTCTGATTGAATTTTTAGTATCAGTTACACCTACAGTTGCTTCTCCTCATCAGAGTTAATTTTGAGTTTACTTAATTGAGATCTGAAATAGACTTTCCCATTGTTTGAATTTTGAGTTTATTAAGTATATGCCATAAAAAGTAATCTAAATATGGAAGGGACATAATTGTATATTGTTGACGATGATGTGTCATAAATCCTCATATGCAGAATCGACCTGGGTGCCATTTGGTTCCTACAGCAGAGCTCTGGGAGACAGAATGCTGAGCCAGGTGTCACAGACACAGAGTGACACAGAGAGGCGGGAGCAGAGATGGCCTGGGAGGGGGCGTTAGGGACCAAGAGCGTGGGACTGGGGATGCTGGGGAGAGTGCGAGGGCGGAGGGAAGACCTGAGGGGAGAAACAGCCCAGCAGGGTCCAGGCAGACCCCTGTCTTGGGGTAATCGTGTCCACACGGTGTGCTGTCACCAGAGTCGCAGAGAGTGAGCCCCTTAAACCAGCCGTTTTGTCTTTGGTTGAAGACATTGCGTCAGGGACTGGGACCTTGCTCCTCACTCATTACCATGTGCTTTCCACTGCACCATGGTTTATTTTCTGTAAATAAAAATTCAAATAAACTTGGGCCTCTGTGAGCTCCTTTAAGGATGATTAACAAGGCCAGGCGTGGGCAGTGGTTTAACAACGAATAGAAAACTCTGATAAAATAAGCCTCTTTAAATGTTTGGAGGAAAACTTAAGCAAGCAACTAATTGTGTAAAGTCCTCAGCGTGCTTCCTTTAACTCCCGAATGTTGAAATTTAGTCTAAGAGTACTTAGCTGAAACTGCTTCCTTTCTGAATATTGACTGCCTGAACTATGCATGTGTCACTTCGTAACTCATGTGACTTGTGCCAGGACTCCGATGCGACACCATGCAAAACCCCGAAGCAGCTGCTCTGCCGTCCATCCACTGGGAACCGAGTAGGGTCGCAGGATGTGTCCGTGGGGTCCCCTCAGGCAGGTGGGAAAACGCAGAGCTCCCAAAGCACTAACACGCCTAGCAGCGCTGACAAACCGCAGGTGCGTGCAACGTGTGTTTTCGTTGTTGGCGTGCAACAGGAAATACTTAGAATTTCTTACGTGTAAATTCTCTCTCTCTGTCTCTCTCAAGGGTGGGAAGAAAACTCTAGGTTAAAGAAGAGTTTTGTTTTAAGAGGTTCCAAAGTACAGCAGTGCTCATAACAGGATGTCCTTGAGGGTCCTTAGGAGACACCACTGTCACATAAACCTTTGTGCAAATCTAGAGACTGGTTCTCATAAGATGTTCCCACCTACCCACCTTATTACAGATGCAGCATAAGAAATTGCATCAGGTTATAAAAAGGTTCAGCTGTACTTGAAATAAATACAAATGAAGCGTTCGCATGACCTCGTGGCTGCATCGTGCGTATCTGGAATAGTGTATCTTTTGTATTTTAATATTCAGTACCTTGTTGCCTGTGTTGATCAGGCAGTGGTCAGCCATGTCAATCAATTAGCATCAGCTTGGACTTAAAAAGGCCACAGAGATACTCTTATTTTAAGGGTTTTAGTTGCCTGAATTGTTATTAGTTATGAATAATGAATCAGAATGAGGAGAAGGAGCCATATCATGCTGCCCCCCACCCCCGTCAGGCTCTCTCATCCTCGCCCAGCCCTGCAGGGCCCCAGGAAAGCTCTTGGCAGTGGGGAGTGGCTGTTGCATCGGTCACCTCGCATCCAAGTGGACTCACAGAGTCCCCTTTACGTATCCAGCCTTAGTCACATGCACCCAATACAGACTCACTGAGAAATGGCAACTAAAGTGACGGGATAACAGGGAAGTAGCGGCCGGCAGTGACGACCCCTGACCTGGCGGCACACCTCACATCTAGGTGCTTCTTCCAGTAATGCCATTTATTACGTGGTGTATTGGTTGACAGGTTCCTTAAGAAACGTTCTACATTGCATATACTCTGTTATGGAGGCAAGGCAGTGGTTGTTTCTCAGTATTTCCACTGAAAAGTCATGTAAACGTTTTAGAGCTCAAGAGAGTTAAGCCCTGCAGTGTCTGCCTGCCAGGCGAGTCAGCATCTCCCTGGTTTTGAAAGCTCCCCAGTCAGGTCTTAGCGAGTGTTCTGTTGAATCTGCGATACTGACTTCTTTTCCACTTTCCTTTTTTGCAGCACGGATCAGCGAGGCTCTTTCGTTCTTCCAGCAAAGGCTTCCAAGGTACAGCCCAAACAAGCCATGGGTCCTTGATGACAAACAAACAGCATCAAGGCAAATCAAATAATCAGTATTACCATGGCAAAAAGAGAAAACACAAGAGGGACACCCCCCTCTCAGACCTCTGTAGATAGTCGCCGTTGTACGATGGACGGTCTTCTGTGTGCAGTCACCTCATGCCCAGGACAGTTGCCTGGGGACTCCTGGGACACGTTTGGGAGCCTTACACTGTTCTCACGTTGATTTAGCAACTGCGTTTTTTCCCAGCTCGCCATGGAATGGATCATGAAGACTGACAGCTGCAAAAACAGCAAGCGAAAAAAGGGGGGAAAAAAAGCTGCTCATTTGATAAGTCATATGCTACAACAGGGTCATTTTAAGATTTAAAGCTTGAATGTAAAATAAATATATTTCTCATTGGCTTTATGCAGAGTTAGAGGGAATAGTATTCAGTGTGGGTAGGGTGATAGGAAGAGAACATTTCAGAGGGTTGGGGTGGGAAGGAGAACAGAGGTAATCGCATAGGAAGTCCAGACTCCAAAGGGGAAAGTGGTCTGTGCATGTTTGTTTTTTTATTTTAAATATTTTTGCATATATTTACCATTTTATTGTGTGTATATATAGATGACCATATAGGAAATCAGTATTTGTAATAGTGGATTTGTTAATACTTTTTACATAACATTACTGTTTAAATTGTAAACAGATTTTTCTCAGGATTAGTTTGCAAAATAATCTGAATTGTCATCTTAACACCCATGTATAGGGAAGTGATTCGTTCTCTTACTCAATTTGTTTTCCTCGGCATTGAAATGACTTAACAGAACCCTTGTGACCTGCTGCTGCAAGATGTTTCCTCTCTAAAGAAAAGGTTGATGGTGGCAAATGACGGTTATTTTATTTTGTAAAAACAAATATATAATATATATGTACTATGTACTTTTGTGTAAACACTGAAAAATCTCTAGTCATCTCTAAAAATGAACTTGCAACCATTTTCTCTAGTGCTGTCGTCTCGGGCAATGGGGCAGCTCCATAACTTTGTATCTGTTTCCTTTGGGTTCCCTTCTCCCCCCCCCCCGCCCCCCTCCAATAGGGAAAAAAGGCCACCGTGTCTGGTCCCATTCCTGTCGCAGTGAAACCTTGAGTTCCACAGACTGCATGATGGCCCCTCTAACCCTGTGTGTGTGCTGCACGTGCTTGTGTTTTCTCATCTCTTACTCTTTTTTTAAATTCATGCTTAACTACTGTGGGAGAGAATAACTGTAAACAGCTTTAATTAAATCATACTTATAAAAAACTATTTTCTTATACTTTATGCTTTTGGTATTGTTGGTCTTTAAAAATTAAATGGTCTTTGATAATGGATCTATTTTGTATTGCCTTATTAAGACCAAATACTTCTTGTCATCCCATTCTCCTCTCCTTCCACGGAATTGTTATCTTTAATTAAAACTTTTTTAAACATCAGCTTGTTTCAATCATATTGTAAATTTTGGTTGTGGTCAGCTCTGAGTACAAATGAAATGTATAATTCTGTTACTCGTCACACATTGAGTTTGAAACTTGTTTGGGAATATTTACTATAATAGAATGTAAGTGACATTTCTGAAAATGCTTTCTTTTAAGGTGAAAGCTCTTATGTTTAGCATCAGTGTGTGTTAATTATAGCCATTTCTGAGATGAGATTATTATATATATATATATATATATACACACACACACGTGTGTGTGTGTGTGTGTGTGTGTGTGTGTGTGTGTGTACACACACACACAGACACACACATACATAGAAAGTACTGTTGGCTTTTAGGAATTTCTTTTATATACATTTATGAAATACTGAAGACCAATCAGACCATTAATGGACACTTAGTGCAACTTTTTATAAAGAAAATAATGCTAAAGTAAGTAAGACCAAAACTGATGTCATCACTGAAATGAATAATTTTCAATATGTTCGTATTTTAATTCACAACAGAAAAATGTGTTCCAAAACTGGAAACTCATAATACTTGTGTAAACCGTGGAAGATTTTAAATGTGATGTTACTTTGACAATGTTTTAAATTTTAGAGTCACATTTTATTCTGATCAGAATTTTTATCAAGATGTTGAGCTTTTGTTATTTGGAACTAGTTTGTCATAACATATTGTGCGCATAATCACAGTATTTATTTTCTAGGACTATTGTGAATGTGTAGATTTATGTTTACTGCTAAGGGAACAATTATTTATAAAATAAAATTAAATCCAGTATTAGCTGCCTATTTCAGACACTTAATACGTGCAGAGATTCATGTTACATTTACCACACTGAAGTTTGTTTTGTTTCGTTTGTTTTGTTTTTTTAAAGAATCATCCTCATTGTTGAAAGTGGATGTCCTCTTAGGGTGCGGATATTAGTGTTCCAATACGCATGTGATTATATTAAGGTGGTGGTAGCGGGAAGATAATCTTGATTCCATTGGGAATCTTAGGTTTTCGTAAATTTATTGGGAAAATAGTTTTTCCTGTATTGCTGAAGTTTCTTTTTGGTAAACAGTATCTTTCTAAAAGAAAAAGCATGAAGGAGAACTTGAGGTGTGTAATTTCCTCAAACGACCAGCATTGTCCTCGTGAATACTGTGTATCTTGCGATGAACAGTGTGGAAAACTGTTCACTTTTCAATCTGAAGTAAAATACTTTCAAGAACTTTTAGTTTGCCTGCTCATTTGTTTTGTACCCTTTATCTCGTATTTGACTCCTGCCTTTTTTCTTTTCCGAGCTCTAGTACTCCCTATAAAGATTTTGTGGACGTGTCAGAAACGGGCCATGTAAATACTGCCGTCCGTCCATACCTGTGAGACAGAACCTGTCTTCGCTAGTGCTTGTGGGGCGGGGTCTTACAGAGTCCGCCTCTGGCGGCCACGGTCATGTGTGTACCTGGTCAGTGTGGGGGCGCTTTAAAAAGTCATAATACACATTAAGACACTGGTTTTTAGAGGTGCTGCTGGGCCAAAGAGGCGTCAGCACAAAGCCGGAGTGCCTCTGTTGTGCTGATCAAGGTAAATGCAGTCTTGAGGTGTCCTCGCAGGCGCCTGGTTTTCAGCGTCTTTGTTTTATTTGGAGACGTTGCACGTGGTTTTCTAACCTTGCTTTGGCCTGTGGGGTCTCCTGGTTTTACATGGGCTTGCCCACCAGTCTTCAGCAGTTGATCATACGATATTTTTGTCCTGTTTTGAGAGTGTTTCCCTTTAGCTGCATTTTGAGCCTCTCATTAATATTGAGGTTATTTGCTTTGGCTCAGATATTCCCGGATAAAGTCCTCACAGAGCAAACCATGGGCGGTAGGGAGAGCATTTTTCCTAGTCTTGGCCTCTGGAACCTTATGCGTCCATGTGTTTTCTTCCCATTCCCTCCGCCATGTAATGGTGTGAGTCGTGTTTGCTTTCACCTGTGGACTAGGGTTTGGGGTTTCCAGGAGGTGGGCGGGTCGGAAGCAAGTATGACTGCTGTGAGCCGCGAGACCCCGTATTGCTGGGACATGCCCACTGCAGAGGCCTCCCCAAAGACGAGAATGTGGGATCAAGCTCTGGAAATCACCACTCCCGTATTACTAAGTGTTGCTGATATTTTTATTGGTTTTGATCATATCTTCTCAATTGTGTGTTCTTAGTAATCTAGTTTTATCAATTCCTTCAGTTATAACACATGATTTCTCAGCTGTTTCAGTCACTAACTAGGACTGTTGATAGCAAATTGCTTCTCAATTAACTTTTCAAAAATTAGATGGTAAAGTATAAAAACAGCATTCCTGATTTTGCTGTGATAAGTATTGAAGTGTGAAAACTAATGATCAGGAGTTTATTCTTACCCATCTGTTCTTGCTCTCCTAGCTCATTAAACTGTTTCGATAGGTAGAAAGCAACATTCTCAAAGTATTTTCTGAGCACAGCAATCTATAAATGGCTCTATTAAACTTAATCCAGAAGTTACATTTAATAGTTACTCTTCATCCTAAATTTCATTGGTGACGGTTCATCTAGTGAAACCTTTAGAGAAGGGCGTAGCATGGAAGTGGGAACAAAGACAGGTTATGAGGTGGTGTTTTCACCTTGCCTCAGCTTCTAAACCAGGTTCTAAGTACCATTTTGTCAAAACATTTATGGGCAGAATAAAGGTTAACATTTTATTTTTTAAGATTTTTATTGGGCAATTGGGGAAGGGGAACAGCCAAGTTGTCCTTCAGTCTTAGTTGTGGAGGGCGCAGCTAGCTCAGCTCCAAGTCCAGTTGCCATCCGGCTGCCCGTCAGCAGCTCAGGGCAGCTCAGCTCAAGGTGCCGTGTTCAATCTTAGATGTAGGGGGAGCGTAGCCCACCATCCCATGCGGGAGTCAAACCGGCAGTGTTGTTAGGAGCACGTGCTCTCACCAGCTGAGCCATTCTGCCACCTGTTGGCAGCTCAGCTCGGGGGCAGCTCACTGGCCCATGTGGGAATCGAACCGGCAACCCTGTTGCTCAGAGCTCGCGCTCTTAACCAACTGAGCCACTTGGCCGGCCAATGTTAACATTTTAATATGCCACTTGTATTTAACCTAACTAAGGAACAAGCCAGGTTTTACTGCAGAAGTTATTAGCGTGGATCAAGAACTTGACGTAACCCAGAGGCCTTTTCCTTGACCATTTTCGTAGCCATCTCGACTTTCTACCATAAGCAGCTTATTTTTCATCAGAGATAATGAGCTAAATATCTGTACAAATTGAATGTTGACAAAATTATTAACCAGGAGAATTGCTTACAAACTCTACTGATTTATTTGATATCCAGAATTAAATATTTACTTAAGGACAGTTTTTAGTTAATAAGCGGCTAATGTCAGGTTTTCTTTTTTTTAAGTGTTTGGCCTGTGCCTTTTCTACTTAAGTATGTGTGTTAAGTTTAACCTCGTCCATCGTCTACTAGCCTGAAGGAGCCACTTTAGGAAGAGATTGAACCCGAGTGGTGGAGATAGCACATCCCCTTTGGTTATTATAAACTTGAGGTGTCTCCTCAGATTTTACTAAGACAAATGTGAGCCGGGTCAATGAGAACAGAGGCTGACGGAGATCAGGTGTGCCCTCTGTCTGTGTATGTCAGCGCAAGTGCTTACTGGCATTTACACATCTTTAGTTTTGCATTTTAACTTAAGTCCCTGTGGTTCCACATGGCCATGGCTACTTTTTACTGCAGCAGCTTCTGCACGGCCTGATTACAGGGAAGGTCTCCACCAAGGAGACAGTCTGGGGCTTTATCTTAAAGGCGCTGTAGTAATGAGAGATGATGAAGTAAAACAAACTGGGCATTATCTGGACAGTGGAGTGGGGGAAGCGGGGAAGAGCAGAGGCCTGGGGAAGCCTCGAAAGCAGGTAATTGGCGAGGGTGATTTCGTCCCTATCGCTCATGGATTAGTCAGCTATACCTCTTAAAGAGAGGGAGATTTTTGGTTATATGCAACATTCTCTTGGGTTCTGTGCAATTCATAGCTGTTCTCTAAATCGTGTCATTCTTAACCTTTGGTTATGCTTTATCATACGTCTCTTTGTCCCGAAACTTAATCTCCAAAATTGAAGATGGCTTCTCTCTGATTTTTATATATTGGAATTTTCAGGAGTCACTTTTTTGTAGTTTTTTGAAAGTCCCATAACCCTAAAATAATTGAAAGGCTTCTCACAAGTATCAGTCTTCCCACTACTCGCCACTGCAAAGCACCGTGGTGGTAAAAGCCAAAAGAGGGCAGCCAGCGTCTTTTGTGGCTATTTGACATGAAGGACTATTGAGATCAACATTTTTAGTGGACTGTGCGTAGATTACAGATCTTTAGAAGTTCGGGGGACCAATGTTTGCTGTTAATAACCTTTGCTTTATCTCCTTCTTCGATTAGCACTGCCTTCTGTGTTAAGAAATGCGGATGCCTGTGAGGTGCCGGAGGTTTGAATCGTCTCAAAAGTTTTCCAACCTTGTCTAGTCACTGCTGCAGAGGCACTAAGGAACTTACCAGAAAAAGAGATTTGATACAAATGATTTATGAAATCTCGACATTTCTTGAGGTCATATTACTGGGCACCAGTTATCGACGCTGTGAATGAAGTGCACACCTGGAGGCTTTTTTTTTTTTTTTTTTTTTTTTTAGCTAACCACGATTCTTTCAAAGATGTCAATTGTTTGCCTTGGAAGATTTTATAAATTGCATTTCTACGCATACCTGCCCCCCCCCAGTGCTTACCACTGAGTTTATTATTCATAACCTGCACTTCAATAAAGGCTTTGTGCTTTCATTTATCTTCAAAACCTTTGGTATGAACCTTTATGTAAAACTTGAATGGCTACTTTTTCTTCATTTATCTTATAATTCTGAAGACAGCCCTGTTGAGACAATGAGCTTTTCTGTACGCAGATGGCATTTCTGTGGGGTTTTCATCCTTTTTAAGGCAAGTAGTGGAGTGGGGGATGCCTTAAAATGCTATTTTTTTCTCCTGCCCAGGTCTTAGCCAAAGATGCCTGCTGGCCTCCCCACAGCCACCACCAGCTGGGAACTGGCTCCCTTGAGAATTTGGTTATTCGCAAGTGCCAGCCCAGTTTTATCCTTTGCGTTGATGCAAGGAGTTACGCTTGCTGGACTAAGATATTGAGATACTTCACCACGGGTTCAAGACACAGACGGTTAGAGTAAGGAAAACGTTTGCTTCTTGAAAGAACAGAAGAAGCGGGACTCAGCCAAGTGCAACCAAACCAAGTTTTCAGAGTCCTCTCCCAGGAGCAGAGTGGGCAGTCCTGGGGGCTGGTGCTTGCCTGGGACCCACCCAAGTGGCAGCGAAGAGAACCCTGGATGGTTGGCTTCTAGGGAACCCCAAGCTGACGTAGAGTGGAGAGAAAATCGGCAGCCCAGGCAACTTGCCTGCTCCAGCCTGCTCACTGCTTCTACATTTACTGTCAATGTTCTCTTTAAAAAAGCAAGAAACGGTAAGCCCATGAAGTGAGAAGTTAGCATGTAAGTATCTAAATAAAAGGAGCTAGTTACCCTTCATCCCCTAGTCCCACTGAACTCCCTGAAGTTAGTCACTTTAATATTTTGGGATGTGTCCGTCTAGATTTTTTAAAATGTATTTACATGTCTGCACAAATATACTTTTAAGGGGTCTTTCCCCCTTTTACGTCAGTGGTATCACACACAACTCCCTACCCTATGGAGAGAGAGATGCATTACACATACAGATCTCCTTACCCCATTTAGGGTGCTGACTTTTGCTTGCAGGAAACGTTGGTAAATTAATCTGTCAGGTACCCCACGGCCCTTATTATAAACTCATAGACTCTTAGGAAATGTCAGTACTTTCCAGCTTATCTTGAACAGGCATTTTATAAAGCCTTGCCATTTGATGGAGCTGTTTCTTCATTTACATTTAAAAATTCTTGCAGTTTTATTTTCTTTTAGGTGAATTTTCACAGCTGCTTTAAGAAGTTTCATCCGTTGATGTATTTGCTAGGATTGAAATATTCTATATGTAACACGGCCACCTGAAACTACGTCTCTACTTTTTCGGCATTGCCACTTTTTTAAAAATGCCGCCCTGGGCAAAACTGATGAACAACTATCAGTTCTATCGATCATTGTCAACCACCTGCCCCCTAACACTTGATCTTTTAAGACCTTCAGTAACTGCAGCAGATAAAACTGAAAC